TCAATCAAAAGTTATAAGCAAATGCAACATTTTTGAAAAGTAGGTTAGGCTTCAAGGTCAAGGTCACAGAGTAAAAGTCATGATTCATTTGGAAAGATCTTATCACAGGTAATAATATACATGCATTATAATATGAATGCCCTAACTTTTCTCTTTCAAAATGATAAATTTATAACAATTTAATTTTTTTGCAAGTAGGTCAAACTTCTAGGTCATATGTAAAAAAAAAACCATGCCATTCTCACAGGTAAATACTAGTACATAAGTTTAATATGAATGCCTTGTCTCTTCTCATTCAGTAGATATGACCGTGATAACCAAGGTTAATTTTATTCAGACAGAAGAACAGTCTGACATACAAATGTACATATTTCTATATGAATTGCATGGGTAAAATTGGACCAGTGGTTCTAGAAAAGTTAAAAATGTAAAAAGTTTTCAGACAAACAGATGGACAACATGTCACAACAGACGTTATATGACAAGGAAACCAGAAAAGCTCAAATGAGTGTTTTGAAAGGGTTACAATATGGTTGCAGTACTTGAAAAGCTGGGTTTTTTTTCATGCAGAGATATGCATGACCAACATATTCATGTTTTATATTTTCTTTATTAATTTGTTTGTTTGTTGTGAATACATATCTCATTGGAATTTTTCCGTCATATGGAGACACCACCAAATAATAATGAAGACAAGATGTGTTTGTGAAACACTGATGTCCCTGTCTGGTAGCCTATGGCGAAGGTTGAAGTTTCTCAAATATATGTCAAACTCAAAGGTCAAGGTCAAAAGGTTCAATTGTTGGTATCAGAAAAAAGTCTTGTCACAAGGAATGCACATGTGAAATGAGTAATCCCTAGTACTTCCTCTTCAAAAGTTAATTGCCAAGGTTAATTTTTTAAGTGGTTCAAACTCTACGGTCAAGGTCAAACATATTTATACCTGTTGACAGTTCACAATGAATACACATGTTAAGCATGAAAGCCCTAGCACCTACTGATCAAAATTTAGGCCAAGTTTAAAGTTGGGTATTTTTCTTGTAAAAATGTGTATTCTAGGTCAAGTGATCAGAGGTAAAAATTAATGGTACCCAAATAAAAGGTCTTAATTGTCACAAGAAATAAACCTATAAAATGTGGAAGCCAATTGTATAGCCCATCCCACTTAAAACTTATGGGCAAGGTTATAATTTCTGCAGACAAATATACAGACATAATATAAACACAAGAAACAAAATATGTACATAATTAGTCAAATGGAAAAAAATATACTATTTAATTGGAATCACAAAATAGATTGTTATTTCAGGGATAGGGAGTGGGTAGGGAGATTGGAACCCCCCCCCCCTGGAATTTCCTTTGTTATTTAAACAAGACTATATACTGAAGCAAATAAAAAATGATTTTGGACATCCTCCCCCTAACTAAGAAAACATTGGTTTTTTTTGTTTATTTGTTTTCTGTGTATGATTTTTTTCTCCTGCTTGTCAGGAAATTCTAGGCATGAATATTTTGACTGAGATGTGAACCCCCCTCCCTAATCCCGAAAAAAATTCTGGATCCGCACCAGTATTGGCAGTAACTGAATGTCACATCGACAAGGGGAGATAACTTCACAATATGAAATTCGTCTAGTGTGGCATGGGATGATCTTTGACCCTTTTTGAACTTTAACCTAATCGTTTGGGTTTATTTTACCCCCACTATACTTAAACTTGTACTTACCGACCTCCATAGGTCCTGTAAACTTCATGAAATATAAATCCAATTATAACACAAAATGAATTAATCCAAAGCACACCATTCTGCAGCATGTTATAATGATATTCCATTCGGAAAACCTCCGTGCCGTCGATTCCGTCACCTTATCAGATGAAGTGGGAATCGGCCGAGGTGTACCGAATGGAGTTTAATCTAAAAATATGATAATGGGTGACGCAACGTGATGTGATGTAGAATTTACATGTCAAGAACAAATTTTAAATTAATTCATAACAAACACTGTTTTAACAAAACTGTTCCATCTAGCCTATTCCCAAAAGTATGTACTGTGTGATTGTGGTGTCGAGAGGGGGGGGGGGGGGGATTAGTAAATTTAAAAAGGTCCTAATATGAGCAAAACATTTATCAAAATCTAATTTACATTATTAATAGAATTCAAACTGGTATATAATGAATTAAGCATGTAAAATAAATATAAGAGGTTCTGAGTTATAGGTCACAGGGATACTCTGCATGGTTGACTTCACTGATCCATACACTTGCATGTATGTATTTTATTACTTGTCTTTTATATGTAACATGGTTGTATGCCAACATGTTTGGTGAATCAATAAAGAAATTGAATTGAATTGAATTTCATACCCAACGGGGGGGGGGGGGGGGCTGCCCCCTTTTTTTCCCCAACATTACCTGTACTATAAGAAAATGTCCATTAAAAAGATGGTTGCCCCCTCCCCCCACTTTTAACCACAGTATATACATTGCAAGGAAATATGGGAAAAATTGGAAGTGAAAGTAATTTTGCCTTGAAAAAAAAGTGGCCACCACCCCCCCACCCCCACCCCCCCCCCATTTCATTTTTTTTCCTTGTTAATTTTTTTAGGTTAGTAAAAAAAATTTTCTCAGGTTGCCCCCCCCCCCCCCCACTTTCAAAAACGATGCTACGTGCCTGAATTATATAGAATTATTTTGACTTTTTCCTTGGTAAGCCGCCCGTAGGATTGTGTATTTAGAGGCAAACACCTTAGTGCGGGTATTACTGTCTCATGACAGCATCTAGTTTAACTTTGTAAGAGCTTCTCTGTCCTAATGACAAACCTATAGCTAACGTCACACAGCTATATTTTAACTAGTCACTGACTACGGTAACTTTGCACAATCCGATTTTGATCGTTACACCAATTGGTTTCTGTATCAAAGTGAAGACACACGCCAGTTGGCTGTACTGCCCTCTTGTACCTCAACTTAATCAATGATCATAAGTTATCAGATATCATATTGATAAAATACAACAGACTGCCTTTTTTTTTGGCAACACTATTATTATTTTCTAACAGAACATCATTTATCAATAATACTTGTATAATTCTTTTGTCAATTGACCAATTAATTACAATATTAACATTGATTATCTATTATAATATAAAGAAGTAACGGGAGGTAACTCCTCCAGACATTTCACTACTACGTGAGAGTCGAAGTAGTTGTTTTACATTTCATGTATCCTTATGGCAGAATCGTTTAATCAAACGCTCAGCTGCCTCCATAAACCCCTACTCGCGAAATGGCGGAGTCTACGGAGACAGCCGCCATTTTGGACCCGCTTCAGATTTTTGAATGTTAATATCTAGACTTTGGATTTGTCAATATTCAAACAGATTATATAGTAAGCATCATTGGAAAGGTCTCTATTACCCAAGCTTAAAATACTTCAAAAATATTGAAAAACAAAAAAGTTAGAAAAATCGACTTTATAAATTCGCATCTGGTAACAACAGGAAGTACTGACGACGAACGAAAAGTTGCGTCCTGGATAGTAATTACGACGATCTATCATCCCTGACAGTTTCATTTTGATATCTTTTACTGTTCTTGAGATAATCCGTGGACAAAATGTCATTTTAAAATCAGGAAATGTCCCGTAACTTGGCACCGGAAGCGAATCTTCAAAAAATGTCTCGGATAAAATAACTTCAGATAATAACACATTGCTTCCCTAAATTCCAAAAAAATCCATCCAGTAGTCTTTGAGAAATCGCGTGCACAAAATTAGATGGGCGGAAAAATAATAATAATAATAATAAGAAGAAGAAGAAACAGTAGAATCACTATAAGGTCTTCCGTGAAGACGGAAGACCTTAATAATAATAAGAAACAGTAGAATCACTATAAGGTCTTCCGTGAAGACGAAAGACCTTAATAATAATAAGAAGAAACAATAGAATCGCTATATGGTCTTCCGTTAAGACGGAAGACCTTAATTAACAAATATTTTAACAATTATAATACTTTTCGATTCGTACCGTATTAGTACAAAAGTGTAACGATGAATTCAATTTTGGCTTTGTTTGGTGAAATTGACTTTCAATGACACTTCTTTGCATTTTTTACTGCTATCGTTCTATGCATCATTCAATCGCTAAAATTATTTCTCGCTCAAATGTATCTTCCCTATTTCACACAAGAAATATAAATACGATTCCTCAAAACAATGTATAGAAGATATATTGTATTGATTTTCAAACACTTTTTCTAACATATTGCATTCCATTCTTATACTATTACTGTAACAGTATGTTGTTTGGCATCCTGCTATAATAGACTTAGAGAAGTGGTTTAAAGTATTCAGTGTTAAAAAGTTAACTAACAATTGCATAAATTTATAAGGAAGTGCTAAATCATGTCTTTATTTAGCCATGCGTTTAGTCCAGTGAAGATTAAACATATGAAGATTGCGAACAGTATCCAAGATCAAACGTCCAATAAACAATAAAAAACAGGAGCAGAGCAAATACGGACCTCCAAAACACCAGAGGTGGGATCAGGTGCCATGGAGGAGTGAGCATCGCTTGCTGACCGGTCACACCCGCCGTGTGCTCCTTGTCATGATCGAGAAATAATGGAAAAATCTGTCGTGAAATCAGTGTATAAATAATGGACTAACAATTAGTATGAAAAACGTCAGTCAGCATTTGACGCAAAGATAAATTTTATTTGCTAACAAGGTCATTGTATCGGCCATAAACCTTACGAAATGATGACTTCAAACGAGACTGCTGATGTATTTCAAGGATAATTGGCAATGCGAGCTGTTGTTAAACATAATGTGTAGCTTTGGAGATTGAAATCTAAAGCCCAGAGTTAACAACAGAGGAAACAACAGTGTTTTACATTTAATTTTACTGTGGCGAGACCGATGACCTACATGTAATTCCTTTGATTATGTCATTAGCCTCTTTCTTTTTCTTAATAAGGTAAAGAGATCATAGGCACAAAAGAACTTCAAACGCACCATTTAGTTTTAACAGCAGCCGGTTCTATAGGTGTTTCTTCTGGGATATGGATTATGTTAATTATTCTGTACAAATGGTAGGCTATGCTTTTCATCTGTACATGTATGTAAAAAAAATTATTGTAAAGAAATCATAAAATCAATAGTTTTATCTTATATTAAGTCATTTACAATCAACTTAACAGTGTAAATGACTCACTTTTCGAATGATATATTTCGATAGTGAATTAGGCTTACGAACATTTACTTTTTGAAAAACTTATCTCAAGAAACAATTTTCCTTGTCTGAAATTAATGTTTATTTAGGCAGAGAAGAAGACACTGCATTGAAAAGAAAGATGGAAACTTAACAGGTAAAGAATTCCATGCAGAAATTTTATTCAAATGTAAAAAAAATATACTTTCAATTAAGTTTTTCGAGAAAATTGTTATCTTAAAGCATGATAGGACGTAGCAACAGTAATCACTGCTTAACAATTTTTTTTTGTTATCCAAACCAACGTTTATCTCCTGGAATGTATCTGCAAAAAGTATATATTTTTCTCATACAGGTATTTTCGTATCAAAGTATTATATTAAATAGAATGCTACATTTGGTTGCAAATGGTTACCCTGGCCACAAAAGATAGATAACACCTGGAGTTTGTCTGGCAATGATAATATTTTCTCCTTTCTTTTCACTTTCAGATGACATGGTTTTTACTCCAAAACAGCAACAAAATGAAAATGGCTTGGGCGACTCGAGAATATCTAAGGAAAGAAACCAAATATTAGCGCCATCTTTCATCTCTTGTCAACTTAATGATGACAATTCTGCATGTAACTCCAGTCAAAGTAGGTCTGAGAGGATGGTAAAAAATACGGAGCTTCATTTGTCAAGCCTCCAAACACCACAAAAAGATGGATATTGCCATAACAAAAGAACGGATAGTCAAAAGCGATCAGATCTCTGTAAAGTATCTAGCACGTCACCCGATGCTTCACGGAATTTAATAAATGAAAACTTGGATGAACTAAACCTATACCAAAATTTCAATGCTGCGGAAAACATGTGCAGTGTACCAGATACTACGAATGCGAATTTACAAGAATTGGGCTCAGATTCAAAAGCATTGGGACCGGATAGTTTGCAACAACAACGGCCATATAGTTCCGTTAAGTATAATAGAAACAAAAGAGAAGACAAACAAGAAAATGCTCTTGATTTTGCTTCGGATGAATTACAAATGGAAGTTGGAAAAAGCAGTAATGTGAAAGATATTGATGAAGTATATGGATTTGATATGAAAGAAGTACAATGTATGAGAAGCCATGAGATTTTAAAATGATAGATAATTTTTTAAATGAAACTTTTGTAATTATTTACTTCAAATGACAATTAAATTTTTTTTAAGTACTTACTTACTAATACATAAAATTTACTGCTGTGATAGTTGCTGGAGTAGTAATTATTTATTGCCACATTCACGATATATCTCACAACGAGTGAGAAAAAGCGAGTACAGATTGAGAAATGGCAAAGTTCTGGAGACGTGCCTCTAGGCAAAATTCTATGTACACTATATGCACATTTGCAGCAGAACTGCAGCTACTGGTATTTGGATTTCCCTCACCAAAAGCTGCCGAACTTTCCTTAATGCAATTTTATATAAGAAATTATTATTTATGGTGCACCTGATCCCACCTCTGATGTTTTGGAGGTCCGTGTTTGCTCTGCTCCAATTTTGTATTGTGTTATGAGCGTGAATACTGTTGTTATCTCCATATCCTTCATTTATTTAAACCATACCTCATGACTAAAGAGAAAACCTGCATAAGACTAGTTCGGGGCTCTTGCTTTTCGCTACAAAAATAAGTCGTTACTGTCTCTCCGATTCAACTTGTTATACTTATTCTTACTTTTATAAAAGTGTATTAATAGTTTGATACCCATCGTCCAAACGTGTGAGTTCTTTTATAAATAAATTTCCCTTTTTATAGACAATTGGTGCATTTAACACCTGTTTTTCCAGGCATCTGTAAAGAGATATTGTACTCATCGGGTAACTAGAACTATACCTATAGCTATGCTGGGAATTCAAATGAGATGCACAAATTACATAATTATGATCAATTAAATATGCAAAAAACATGTGTTTGTCTTTGTATGTTCTGTTTCTGGTCACTAGTAACCTCTGCAGAATTAGATTTAAACGGAACACCATAGATCTGTATCAATTCCCTGCATGTCATGCATATCATGCACCCGAAAATGATTAGGAAACAAAGTCAGTTATATTTCCTTAATTTATTTTTTATCTATTTATTCATTCAATTGCAATACTAGTGAATAAAAGAAGCATTACAATATGTCTACATTCATCAACCATTAATTCAAAACAAAATGCAGTATATAAGCAATATTATAACATGTGTACACTATACTGATGCCGCCTCCCACCCCACCTCCACGTGTAATTTAATGGATAGACTGTTGTTCACTTATTAACACTGTTTTCTGTGCAAAAAGAATAGATAGTGGCAAAAACTATGTAAACATAATCGTATTGAACTTTATTTCAGACATTCGTTCACTTCTTTAATAAAAATGTAAGGTAACATGAAGATGCTATTGAATCTTAAAGGGTAAATGGAAAAGATTTTGATCAGATACTCCACTGATATGTATCTTTCTTCTGTTCAAGAGTCCACAAGCTTGTAATGTACTTAACGTCTTTGAGTGAGATTGGGTATGTCCAAAGCAAAGTCAGCGAAATCTGTATAAGTAAATCAGTCATCTTTCCATGAAGGATTGTCATACGAATTAATGGCCTTTTTACAATATTCTGCCAATATTTTTGGATTGAGAAATGATATTGTCTATATAAATAAAACAATCTGACATTGCAAGATGGTTTTACTTAAATCCAGAAAACCTTTTTACTTAAATATATTGTAGGCGAGGTTAACAAAATATAATGATAATACATTCATAAATTTTTTAAAAAAAAGAAAGAAATGTTTAACATTCCTAGCATATCATATGATTAATATGAAATATATAATAAATATATTAGACACATTGTTCATTTTCAAAAGCTTTATTTTCAATCTTCATCCAAAGATCTTCCCTTCCCCTGGAAATAAAAGGAAATAACATTAATAATGCTGACAGCCATTTAATATTCTTTTCTGTTAAGGAATGCATCGTATGTATTCTTCTGTATTGCCAATCCTGGAACCATGCCATTCATTTAAAATTTAAATAGTTATCAAATGAAAGACAATGATATAGTGTATCATTATTTCATTATAAACAACTGCCATATTTACTTGATGCACCAGATGTTAAATGTATTCATCCATATATCTACAAAACCTTCTTCTAATGATAATTTAAAGTTCAGATTAATCAATTGGAATTGAAGGCGAATTAATACGAGGATCAAAAACTACTCACCTGCTATTGGCGTTGGGATACAAATTCCGCACGTTTTCCGACAATATTGTTTCATAAACTGGGACTGTCCACAGGCCGGACTATATAGAGTACAGTTGTTATAGATATCCACACAGGGCCCTAAAGTTTTACAATGTAAAGGTTATATTTGTTTATATCAATAGATAGTTGTTTAATTTAATACTTACTCAATTATATATCTTCGCCATACTGGGATGTATGCACATACATGTATATCAAATTCAAATGCTGTTAATAATATCATATCAGTGTTGTGTGATTTACAAAATTTTGTTAAATAACGTTTTCCGAAGGTCTTTAAATTTGGATTTTTGCCCTCTCGACGACCTATTTGATATTTTGCACAAAACATATTAGACCTTTGATGAATTTTCTTCCTAAAATAATATCTTTTTTTGGCTCACAAAATAATGATTTTGTAAGCGTGTTTCATGATATACATATAAGTGAAAATTTGAGCAACATGACTCTGTTGTTTTACAATGGAGACACAGAACTTAAAATTCTTCATAATGGTAACACGGCTCCTGCCTTTATTTTTCTACTAGTACATATAAAAAATATCATGTTTATAACAAAACGAGACAAACTCTCATATCGTATTTAGAATTAATTTTTTTATGGAAAAAATTTGCTTTGAACGAACATATATTGGAATATTTAACCTTTGTTAAGAAAAACATAGGATGGGCTTTGTTCACGTGACAAAGGTTAGGAGCTAAATAGGTCTAAATCTCTCTTGTATCCCTTTAATATATCTACTATTGAGGAATAAATGTACCTGGAGTCATGGTTGTTGTTGTTGTTGTTGTCGTTGTTGTTGGTTCAGTCACCTTGTCTTGATTATAATATCCTGAAATATGTGGCCCATGATGAAATCCTTCAGACAATAGACTTTGATTAATTTTTTTTAGCATTTCAAACAGGTGTAAAATACAGGAGATGCATGGTTTTTAATAAAAATACGTTTTACTTTTTTTTCTAAATCTTTTTTTTATTTTATAAGCATCATTTTATTACATTTTGCCTTTCAAAGCTTTGATATAACAAAATATTTGCAGGTTATATGTCTTCACGTTTTGAAAATATCGTTTTGATTAGAATAAAGAGATATTCTGTAGGCATTGCAGTATTACTGAAAGCTGAACTCTACATGTTCAAGATTTCCATGATATCATATGTTGGTTCCTTCAAAAGAGATTCTAATTTCACTGTCATCGTTTCTCTTCAATAAATATTTGCATTTTGTAACTTTTTCTTATTTAAAAAGTTGTGATGAATTATTTTACAAAATTGGTCTAGAAACATTCTTATATCGCCATAGTTATTCAACTCAGATTTCTTTATTATAATATGAAATAAATGGAGATATCGAACAGTATTCATGCTCAAAAGTCCATTACATAATTTAAATTTGGAAAAGAGTAAACATGGACCTCCAAATCAGCAGAAGTAGGATCAGAAGCGATGGAGGAGTGAGCATCCCCTGACGACCGGTTACACCCGCCGTGTGGTCCTTGTCATGATCGGCAAATGTCAATGTTTAAATAATGGTCTAACAATAAGTATTAAAAACGTCAGTCAGCATTTGACTTGATGAAAGATTTTATTTGCTGACAAGGTCATTGCATCGACCATAGAACTATCAAACTTTTTGTCAAATAAATTGTATACATACGACAAAACCCACAGGTCAGCGCACAGTTACGGAACATCCAAGTAAAGTAAGCAGGAATTCCACATGCTGTTTTCTCATACATCTTACATGAACCAAAGTTGTCTCTGCAAGTATCTACAATCAAAATTAACATACATCATTTCAATAAGCATATGTTTTGATTTGATATAAGTATTAATTTCTAAACACATTGCATATTTCTGCTTACCTGAATATGCATAACCAAGTAGACAAAACAATAAAATGGTGATTTTGTTCGCCATAATTGTAGTGGAATTGAACGTTTATTCTTACCATTATTTATATATGACTGAAGTTGTCTACAAAATATGCTGTATATCCTGAATGGCAAAAAGAGATAAGTCATTAAAGGAATGGTTAAGATAAACCAAATAACACGGAAGTAAAAGGAAAGGTCGTCCAAATTTAGTATCAAGGTTCTGCCTTGGTGGGAGGCTTCCTTTTTTCCGTTATTTTAAACAACAAACATTGAAGGAAATTATGTATTGAGAAAGATATACATTAAAGTAATACACTGACAATATTTCAAATTACAATGGAAATTGTTAATGTAAATGACTTGATATAAAAATGTATATATATATCGCTGTTGAATAGTACAAAAGAAAACTTAAAACATCACTGCAATTTATCTTTCTAATTCTTTTTGGATAAATTATCTGTACCTCTTCAATTGTACGAGTGAAAGTCTAAAAAGCACATTAGAATAATTCACTACAACCAACTTTAGAAGTACTTGAATTATTGAAAGTGGCACTCAGGACTGACATGGAAATACAATTTTACAGGACATTTCCTCAATCGAATTCGGTTGAATTTCCAGACGATTGATTGATTTGCTTTTAAAGGTTTTTTGTGTTTGATAGTTCCTGTGACGATGGTCATGATTATGATTATAAAATACTACATTGTAGTATTCAACAAATATATCAATAGCATACTCCTATTACACTTTCTCCTATGTTATGTTTCACTGATAGAATAAATGATAAATGCCGAGGTTTTTGATGATTACAGGTTTGCAGGTTTTAACGTAATACATATAATAAGAAGCTGAATTGAATTCCATATTCCGTCTTTTGATTGGATAAAAAAAAATGCATGTATATTTATAAATACAATATGATAGATTTCGATTCTAATACATATATGTTCTATTCTGTCAAATAAACTGGATTCTAATACATCAAGTGTATATGCATTAATTACAGGAAAACATTAATGTCACAGATGTTTAA